TCAACATATGTCTATTCATAAGCTCCTGACGCTGGTGGTTTAAACAAATCAATAGAAATATGCAGCATAAAGCCAACACGAACCCCACTATATCTTATATACTGTATTCAGATGAATAAATGTATGGCACCCAGTGTGGTGTAGTAGACAATATAGTGACAGACTACGATTCTAGAGACCAGTCTGAATCCTCACTCAGCCCTGCGTGGAGGGAGTAGAACTTTGTAAAACCTTAAATATCTCACTTAACTGCAAACCTCTATTAGAGTTGCTATAAGTTGATTGTAAGACACATAACTAGTCCAAGCTGTACATAAAAGCCATACAAATCAACGAGATTTCAACATGCACCTAAAAATCATAGTGTTTGGGACACATATAATTCCAAGGAGAGGAATATTATTAAGGAGTTCTTTTTCCTGCTTTTTAATTTAATTTGTGAATCTGTTCAACATATGCGCCAAAACAGAAAGGTGGCATCCTTTTGCAAAATACACCTGGATGCTGAATAATAAGCTCCTCTGAATGACTGCCAAAGGAACCACATGGTAGCAGGAGTCTCGACAGATCAGTTCCATGGGTCCCCCATGGGTCCATAGATAAGGCGGAGGCTTCTCAGAGAATAAGGCCCTACAGTGTGCCTTAACAATTTGGCCCTGTATTAAAGATGTAGCCTTTACAGGTGTTCTGGTAGCCAATAAAAGCTAAGTGCACCATTTTCAGAAGGGCCCACACAAAATCCATCCAATAATCCACATTTTAGGTCATACTTACCTATGCACCAGCTACCTGTCCACTTAAGACAACACTCCAGGGACCCCAGGGAACGGAAAGCATGAAAATCTGAGCCACAATAAATGTGTTAGTTATTGAGGTACCACAACGCCCTTTATTGGTTTACTAACAATGGACTGGACCCTAAAGAAGGCTGACCACCGAAGAATGGATGCTTTTGAATTACGGTGCTGGAGGACGCTCCTGAGAGTCCCCTGGACTGCAAGGTGAACAAACCTATCCGTTCTGAAGGAAATCAACCCTGAGTGCTCAGTGGAAGGGCAGATCCTGAAGCTGAGGCTCCAATACTTTGGCCATCTGATGAGAAGAGAAGACTCCATGGAAAAGACCCCGATGTTGGGAAAGTGTGAGGGCAAGAGGAGAAGGGGACAACAAAGGATGAGATGGTTGGACAGGGTCACCGAAGCCACCAACATGAATTTGACCCAACTCCAGGAGGCAGTGGAAGACAGGAGGGTCTGGCATGCTCAGGTCCATGGGGTCACGAAGAGTCGTACACGACTTAACGACTAAACAACAAAAACAACGGACTGAGATAGTTCTCCTCCTGACAAATACTCTTCCACCTGTAAACTGCTTCTAGTTTTTGCCCACAACAAGTTCCTACATGCACCCACCTCCTCCAAAACAGATTAGGAAGGGAAAGCCGGTGGCCTGGGTCTTCCTCCCCCTTCCCTGTAGGGGAAAGAAGAAGGAAGAGTGAGGTTTTATCAAAGATGACATCCTTTAATTTATATCCCTGCCTTGAGCAGGGGGGTTGGACTTGATGGCCTTAAGAGGCCCATTCTAACTCCATTATTCCATGATTCTACGATTTCTCAACCAGCTCCCAGAAAGAAAAAGCAGAACAGAAAAGAGAAAGCCCTTCAGTCAGAGATCAGAAACAGTTTGTTTTCTCCTGCGTCGGAAGGGAAGGATGGATCTGGCCCCTCCGTGGCCCATATTGGGTTGACGGGCCTGAAAATCCTTTATCCTCTGATTGAAGTATTGAAATACGGTGAGATCCTGCCCGGAATGGAAAAGGCGAGGAAGGAGACATCAGGGTATCCAACCTGTATGAACAGTTATAGCACTTTAAAATCCTTAAAAAAAAAAAAGAATTATAAGCCAACCCTTGCGGATTTCCCATGTCAACACGAAGGGGCACACACAACTGGTTGTGCAACTCTTGTGGTGAATGCTTGTGCAAAACACTGTGGCTGTTGGTTGTGCGTGTGGCTGCAAATCCATGCTGTCAGATATTTTCACGGCTTCCCACCGGCATTCATGCCGGATTTGGGGAATTGGTTTTAAAGCAGGGGTGCCTGTCTTTTATAAATAACAATTTTGCTGCAGTCCAGCACGCCTTCCTTCCCTTCTGTTCTGATCACGAGATGGGACAGAAACCAGATTTCCAGAATAATATATCAGGGATGAATAGATGATTTCTCTTTATTTATTTTTTTTAAAAAAACATGTATTTAAGAATGGGCCAGATTTCTTACAAATCAATCAATAAATGCAAACAGCAATGAGGAAAAAAAAATCAACGAAGCCAGAATTTTTGGTCCAGGATCTAAAGTCGCATCTTTAAATGCAATTCTGCTACACATCAATAAAAGCAGTATAATCTCCAAATCCCACCAGGGACTAGTTCCCCTCTATTCAGGACTTGTTGGGGTTCACCTGGAGTCCTGTGTTCCAATTTTGGACACCACACTTGAAGAAGGATGATGACAAACTGGGGTTAGTTCAGAGGATGGGATAAAGGATGATCAGGGGACTGGAAATCAAGCCCTAGGAGAAAAGGTGGACAGAAATGGGTGTGTTTAGCCTTGAGAAAACAAGACTGAGGAGAGCATTTTTCAAATACTTAAAGGGTAATCCTACAGATGAGGGGCAGGATCTGTTCCTGATCATCCCAGGGTGCAGGACACATCAGAATGGGCTCAAGCGACAGGAAGCCAGATTTGGGCCGAATATCAGGAAAAAACACTTAACCGTTAAAGCAGTACGGCAATGGGACCCATGACTTTGGGAGGTGATAAGGGCTACAGCGCTGTGGAGGCCTTCAAGAAAAAACTGGATCTGCTTTAATTTGGATCCCTGCCTTGAGCAGGGGATTGGACTCGATGGCCTCAGAGGCCCCTTCCAACTCCATGATTCTAGGATTCACCTAGAATAAACATATTTTCCCTGAGGATTAAACCCTTTACCTAGCCAAAACAGCGCCACGCCCCCAAACCTGACACGGAAGCTACGACATTTGTATTTAATCACAAATGGGTGAAGTCACGCTCAGGTTATTAAAGGGGAAAAAATCAAGTCCCTCCTTTCCTCAGTGCAAAGCAATATGCCGATCTACTAAAATATACTGAAATAAATTCTTCCCCACCTGTATTTCTAGCCCCCTCCGTGCTCAGGTATCCATTTATGCCCCAGTGCTAAGCTGACAACAGTGAAGTCTCATTTTCTTTCTGTAAATACTGTCCGTTTTTCCTGTTCATTTGCTTTCGTGCCTTGGGGGGCAAAAAAGATACTTTCATTCTGAGTGGGTTTGGTCAGATGCGTTTGGGCGTCGCCTCGCTTTGAGAGCGCGAAAAACTGAACACAAGCCTGTCGTATTTCCTCCACAGAGCCGAACGATTGGTTTGGTTCGTTTAAGAAAAAAATAAATCCTGCTTCTTCATAGACACCCAACTTAACGATGGAGTTTTGCGACAGCATCTTTTTCCTCAGGGAAGCCATCGAGAGAGTTGGGTTTTTCCAGAGAGGGGGAGAGAGAGTGTGTATGTGTGTTTATCTTTGCTATTCCTTTCTGTGAGATGCGGAAAATCTGAAAAAAAAAATCAGCTGCCTTGTTTGCACGAACCAGTATCTCAAGCTGGGTTTCCTATTTCTTCTCAACGCCCTACACAGCTCCCTCTGCACCCTCTTTCATGTGCTTATTATTTAAAGTATTTTTACCCTGCCTTTCTCCTCAAAAGGACCCCAGGCTTGGTCTTCTGGTCTACATCCAGCTGAATCTAAGACAGTGGTTCCCAACCTTGGGTCCCCAGATGTTCTTGGACTACAGCTCCCAGAAATCCTGACCAACGCCACAAGTAGTGAAGGATTCTGGGAGTTGTAGTCCAAGAACACCTGAGGACCCAAGGTTGGGATCCATTGATCAAGGGTGTCCAAAAGGG